AGATAGCGGCTAATTAATGTACAGTCTCAGCGCAATTTCGTCCCCATTCGTGGCGCCAACTGAGTGCTATGAGGTAAGAGAGTTAGTTAAATGCATCCTCACGTCTCTAGCGGAAGGATAATAATCTTATATACGAACATTTGAGAATTAAGTCCTGGGGTATCTGTGACGATCGTAAGTTTAAGTTGTTTTTCTTACTAAATAGTGACGTGAAAACGTATATTCACACACACACACACACACACACACACACACACACACACACACACTCACACTCACACACACACACACACACACACACACATCAGGGTTAGATTGTTAAATTAAAAGTCCTGTGCCTGACAATTTAGACTTTTTTTAGCTGGTTCTATTAGCAGCACGTGTTGTCTGTCTGTCTGTGTGTGTGTGTGTGTGTGTGTGTGTGTGTGTGTGTGTGTGTGTGTGTGTGTGTGTGTGTGTGTGTGTGTGTGCCCTACTTACGTGAACTATTGACTGGGTAAGATAGATCGATAGAAAGATAGATAGATAGATAAGATAGATATATAATCAAACATTAAATCATTCTAAGGGCAATCCAAAAATACCATTCAAAACATATTAACATTAACACAATACTGGAGGAACTGGTAATAAACACTAATTAACAACGATACAAAAATTGAATAAGATACACAAACTTGATACCATAGTCCATTATACAGAATTAAATCAATTAAAAAAAAATAGGTCGAATTAGTTACTCAAGGAGGCGGGAGGCGAGTAGGTTGTTGAGGGAAGATAAGTGTAAAATATCTCGTTGGTAGAGACATTTATCCCGGGTATGTTGTCATCATCACACAACATGAGTTTAAGTGGTAGTAATATATGTGTCGCCGGGTGTCTTAATGTTTAATGTTCGTATGAGAGAGAGAGAGAGAGAGAGATAAACGACAGACTCTCATACCCGAGTGATAGGCGCATTTATGCTTCATCACTCGCATGTTTAACTTCATTGAGATATTGTGTCACGGGGCTAGGCTCAAGTGGCATGAATGACAGCATTTGCCACGACAACATGACATTACCGCGCAAGAACTGCAATGTTGGAAGAGTACCACGAGCCAGGCCATTAAAGGAATTATTATTTTTTTTATTTTTCATACAATACGAACATAAACAAATCCAGTTTAATGTAATCAGATAGTTTAAGGATCCTGTATTAGTTTTGGTCAGGTTGTATCGAGTTTATTTGGTCTGTGTCTTCTGCTCTCACAGTAAAAATAGACACAACTTGGTATGGCTATTCTGGTAGTACTTTATTAACATTGACGATTTTGCAGGTATTGTCTGTCTCGTGTTCATTAATATTTTACATTACATTTCAGTCCAAACACTGCTGTATGTCTACCAAATAACAGCATTCACCCCCCAAAATAAACACACTTTATTCCAACTTTATAAGTGTCAAGTTACTTGACGCAAATGTGAATAAACTTTTACAAGTATGACGCAGGCGAGCAGTTTTAAATTTGATATCAGACAGACAGGTTTAGTGAGAGCGGACATCATTCCCGGGTGAGCGGCAACACGAGCAGGGTAACGTAGGCTAATGGTGCACTATTTGGCCCTGTCTCCTGCTCACTTACTGTTATTTAAAGGAACTGGCTCAGCAGTATAAGAGGAGCCGTAAGAATGACAAATATTCATCTATTGTTACTAACTTAAAGGGAGAGACGGTGAAGAGACAATGTTCAACGCCTAAGGTTGTCTCAGACTCAGAGTTGACAGCTCCTTTTGTGAAGATTTTTCCTCTTATTGGTGTTAACGTAATGTCTACTAAGGTCATAGATAATATATCAGACTATGGGTCATAGAAACATAAAAGTTTAAGCTGTGAAGAAAAACTCATGCTAAATTATCACATAAACGGTGGATAAGAAAGAAAGAAAAGAAGAGAGGATAATAAAGATAAATTTAAAGGGCTGGTCACAGCTGCGCGCCATGAATGACGCCTCCTTGTACAACAACACTGGTGACCTTCAAGACGGCTGCTCTTATCTTCCGCCAAAAATTTAAACAACAAAAGACTTCAAGCTTTCTTTACTGATATTATGGAGCATCTTCTTGTATCTATTTCCAACTGGAATAAAAATAGGTCGACAAATGAATTCTGGAGCGAAGGAGTGAGATGAAGGACCGTTTAAATAACACAACACAGGAGGCAGAACTGTTACCGTACAGCAACAAGAATGACGCATCACCATTCACCAGCATCAACTGTGAGGTGAATGTTTTTGGATCTTGTGTGTCATAAGGAAAGTGACCAACGATATCAAGAAACGCACAGGTCTCACATATAACTTTCGGTAATCTTGTGTTAATTGAAGACAAGGGAACAGTAACTTACGTCAATATGGGACACGACCCTTTAAAGATCTATCTTCTGGTCGTACCTTCTGAATTCAGTGACCTCGATAGATGCATCAACTGCGTATCAAGCTTTGGGGAAAATATTGACAAAAGAATCTTTGAGAATCCATCTTTATGTCGTAGTTTAAGTGAGTACTGTAATTTAAGCACGTCCTCACGTCTCAAGAGGAAAAATAACGTACGAACTTTTGAGTCCCGCTGCCCAGGGTATAAATATTCAAAGCATCTTATGTTAACTTTTCACTATACTGTCCTGTTCACATGAGAATAAATCTACCTTATTCACTTTAGCAAAGACAATAATATAGTTGCCTCTGTGGTATTGAAATTGTAATAAGAAGCTGTCGTAAGTACAGGCAATCGTATCGTCAATTAAAAAATAAATTTAACATAGGAACCTTTGAAAACCGGGCCTGTGGTGGAGACGTGACTGTGTGTATGGGTACTAGGCTTTGCTAATAAAAAAAACACGACAAGTACACAGTTTCTCTCATTCACACACACACACACAAATACATACACTGAATCTTCCTCCGTCCTTGTGGTTCGTATAGAAATTGTTTAAAGTTAAAAAATTGTTTCTCTGACTTTATTTTATTCTAGAGAGAACCAACAATTCATTCCTCGACTTTATAAAGGATTAGACTTCTGTATAATTCCCCCCGCCATTCAGTTATTGACTCAAATCCAACCACCCCATGTTGAAAAACCTTGTCACGAGGCTGGACGAGGTGACTGATGCGGCGATATTTGACAAACACTGTTACACTTTATCAACAAATATTAGACATCTTGAAAGACTCGGCTAAATTTACTCGTGTCTGGGATGATATAATACTCTTTTAAAACTTTCTTAACATAGAAAGACAGAGAGGAGAGGATAATGCTCAAGCAGCGGTGGGTTGTATTACGCTACGTAATGACTTTACGGGCGTATTTAACTACACAAAGAATGCTTCACTATGGTTTGTTCTGCCAGATATAAGAAAAACTTTAATTAACATGACAAAGTATCTCATGGTTACTGTGTTTCCTATCACCATCAACCACTTCTCTGGTAAATAACTAACACGGTAGACCTTGGATGTGAGGATCGTGTTGTGGTGAGTGTCGACCTAAAATCATTGTGTATAAACATTGCAATGAGCGAAACTGTACACGTCAGTAACAATAAACTATTTAAACACTTTCCAAGGTTTTAAAAGTAACCAGAGACGTAAGTTGTTATTATTATGATAAAGGTGAAGCAGACGGTGCAATTTCACTGAGTTTTATCATGGACACAGTCATAGTTTGGCAAATGTGTTAAAAATTGGTTATTTCTAAACTAAACCTAATCTAACCTTAGTTGATACGAAAAACAAGCGCCAGAAGCGTTGTTAGATGACCTCACCAACCTAACTTTCAAGCCGTGCCCCCACCCAGAGCCCCCACCATATTAAACAGAAAGAACTTACTATGATATGGTGTAATTTTACGTTTTTTAGTAGACGTGAACGCAGCCGTACACTGGCGTCGATCGGAGCGCGTCATTACGATTGGCGGTCACCGTCCGGAGATGCGCCTTCTCGGCCTAGGCGCCAAACGAACCATTTTCCAAAGAAATTATTTTATCATATCAGAACTCACTGACAAACATATAGTAAGAATATAAATATCAAAACAAATAAAGCGTAGGCTGGGTTAGTCATATTAGTCGAAAACTGATTTTTTATTAATTTCAGTGAGTCACTCACCAGTGGATGTTGCTGGCAGGGAACTAATAACATCCTGGTGAAGGTGCTCGGAAAGATGACTGAAATTCGAGATGCTTGAAGGAATGAAAGTCGTATTTTACTTCAAGTCCGTATAGGACGATATTTCTTAACTAATTATCCTCAAGGCGAGATAACTCGGTGGAAGACACGAGACATTAGTTAAAAGGCTCACAGTAGTCACGCCTCAGGATGGGGTGAACCATCGCGATTCGCGACTAAAGGTTTGTTAAGTAGATTTTAGATACATTGAATCATTACAACGTTCAGGTGAAAATGCATCTAAAATAGTTCATAATCATGGCGTATATGTTCGTCAGTCTTTGCATTTTGATATTTGTAAGAAAATATTCAACTCTGGCTAAATGAATAATTCGAACGTAATATTTCTCGCTATTTTAATGTCTACTAGTTAATAAATATTTGTATTGCAGAAGAATCTTACCATAAAAAACAAATTTAGAATTATAAAGATCACAGAAACTCAAGCCAAATTATGTAAATGTAATTACTTAATTGAGGCTGGTGACGTCACAGTTTAAACATCTGAACCTAAACTCACCCATTGTGACGTCACTGCGCTGACGTCACAATTGGTGAACGCGGCCGTTGGGTGAAGGATGTAATGTTATGTTAATACCACGAACAAAGCCTCCAAACCACCTATATTTCAGACGACATAACCCATTTAAACCCAACCAAATTACGACAAATACATCAGAATTAATGTATATATATTAAGCTCAAATAAAATTATTCTCGTATTCCACCAAATATAAATAAACAAATAATTTAAAGGTCATATTTAAAGGTCTACGTTTAGCGATCCAACATTAACCATCTTGTTATTGTTGTGGTGGACTGTACCAGCTGTTGACAGTGTGGTTACCTGGAGGCTTGGGATCACTTCAGGTGAATACGAGTTAATTAAATGTGACAGCTATGCTTTAAATGTAGATAAAGACAGGTAGATATTTACACTAACTGCTCAAAAAATTAACTGGGGATTACAATAGAGAGAGCCCTTTTAATGGCTTTCATAAGGTTGTAATGCTGAACGAGTGTGAATTTATGTTTAATGACCTGACTGATTAAACATGTAGTTAATCTTCTCCATCTATTTAATTTTCTCTTATATAATCAGTAAACTTTGCACATTATTGAAGAAACCAATGGAATCTGTTATATAAAGTGAATTTGATTTATCTGAGTAATATTGGTAAAGTCTTCATGCAAATACAATCTTTGAGTAGTTAGAGATGATAATATGAAATAATATGTTTAAGTTAACATGAACCAAATTAACTTGATCTGAAATATGCTCTAGGTTTGATATGTTAGTTAGACTAGGTCAGTTTATTTCAGTTCATCTTTCATAAATGGTTTACTGGCGGCCAAATAACCACAACCATTCATAGTTAATATATGTATGGAACCTTGACACATAATTCTAAGTTTATATTCATTTTCTCTAACATCTTCCACCTGTTCCCTAAAAATTCCATTATTTAGAGTTACAAGCTTTGACTAATAATGCCTTATACGTTCTCAGTCATATTTGTCCCTTCACAACTCTTTTAGTTATGGTATGGTAAATTATTTATATTGGATTTGCATGTATATTTTATTTCCCCACTGAGCAAGGAAATTATGTATTCGTATTTAAAGCGATGTCTGTTGCTGCCATGTAATGTACGTATCTTCTGAAAAGTGATAAGTAAGACATTTTGTTAAAGAAAATTAAGCGTATCACATTATAAAATTTACACTGGAATTTTTAATGAATCTCACTGTGTCTTATAAACAGTAACTGTAAAACTATTGCACAAAACTTTTTATGAAAATTATGTGAACCAAACTATTATTCATTAACCCAAATTAACTTGTTTAACATATTGGTCTTAGATTTGTAAGACTAAAGGTGTAGTTTAGTGCCACTTTCTTAATAATATGTCCTTCCATATTCACTCCTTGTGGTCATTAGTTGTTAGATCCTCTCTAACTCAGCCAGTCAGTTATCCTGTATTCTCAGTCTGTTTATACCCAGCATTATTCTTCCATGTCTCTCTTAGTCGTCCCCTGAGTCTTGCTCCTTGTGGTGTCCCGTCATGTGACATTCTTGGATGTTTGTCTTCTGCCGTTGATTTAGCTACTCATCCAAGCTGCCTCGGCTGTGTCTCTTATATTTTTGTAATCTGTGGTACATGGGGACAGTATAGTATCTAGTATTTTCTAGGTCTTTCGTTCCTAACTTTCTGGTCTTTTTTTTTTTTTTACAGTTCTTTTCTGCTGCCATTAGCCTACTTTTGTCCATTGATGTTAATGTGTCTTGATAATAACACATATAAAGGTACATATTTTATCCATGTACTGTACTATGTAGACTGACTTTTTTTTTTCCCTTTCAGGGTGTTGTACTGACTTATTGTGGTGATACACAGCCACATATTGAGAGACGGGGAGTCCAGACTGTAATGGAGATAGCACGCTCCCTCTTTGGGAACCGTGCCCCAGACGGTTACACAGATGGCACCACACACGTCCATATTGAGACCGCTGCTGATGATGATGACAATGATGATGTGTTCTTGCCAGACACTCCTGAGGGTCTGAGTACAGGTGGGTTGAGGCAGGTGTGCTGATGAGTTGTGAAGAAATTTGTCAGTACAGTAATAATACCGGTACATGTAAGATAGTATACTGTACTATACATAGATAATTGCAAAGATTTACACCTAAACATACAATTTTTTTTTACATAGTTTCATTGTTGTCTTCAAATTAGTTTCAAAGAGAGACAAATATTACGGGATTAGCCCACCAAGGCACAGGTCAATGACCCACATCGGGGCCTGGGGGTGAAAATATAATAATACTGTAGTAATAATAATAATAATAATAATAATAATAATAATAATAATAATAATAATAATAATATTATGGATAAAACTATAATTTTATTATACTTTCCCCTACCATTACCGTCTTATTTTGAAGTTAACATTTCCCTGATCATCCCTATTTAGCATACCTATGCAAGAGGAGATAAGATAAAAGACAGATAGAGTCAGAGTTTAGAGACACAGAGTGAAAGTACCCAACAGTAACCTCTCTCCCATCAACAGGTATAAGAATTGGGAGTTGTGTAACAGAACCATGCTCGGGAGGCCCCTTCTCCGCCATCACTCCGTCCATGTGGCCGCAGGACATCCTCACCAAGCTCTCTCAGCAAGACCACCACCATGACCCTAACCACCAGCCAGATTATAGGTCAGTTCAACTCAATGTTTGGCTCGTTTACCTTGAACACACATATTTCTACTTTGCCAATTGTAAATATTAAAAAAAGGAATTTGATTAAAAAAGTATACAATGAATCCTTGTTAATTTGATATGGTTTAAGGGATATGTTTGAAACTGTCCATCCATGTGCCTCTTAATGAAAATAAATAAATGCCTGTAAGATATTGTATTAATCCTACAACACAGCAGCATATATACACTCAATAAAGTGCCAAGACAATAAACAGTAACGGTACAGCCACACCCCATCAACTTGTGCCATTATCTGCTGTGTCTGTGTGTAAGCATCAAGGTGTTCAAGAGTTAGGATCATATTAAGTCCTCAGGCTCTTGTATTCATTATGTACTCTGGGTCTTGGCCGGGGACTCAAGATCAATAAACACTTTTTAAACGTTGAATTTATTGGTCAACAGGTTCGATGAGTTTGGGTTTCGTGTAGAGGAAGAAGACGGGCCAGAGCAGAACAGCAAGAAACTCCTGAGTCAACCTTTTGTAGAGGATCCTCAACACAGGTGAGACACAACACACCATTGTCTCCGTTCAACACAGGTGAGACACAACACACCATTATCTCTGCTTATTTTCTCTTCTCAACTCAAGGTGGCAGTACAATTAATGGATATTTTTAAGGATTTGTGCATGTTCCATTTCATATATTAAGGAGTGAAGGAAGGGTCTTAGGTGAGTTGTTATATATATACAGTAAAGGGGACACTTGTTAACTGGAAAATCCCATTACAGAACTGAAACTTTGAAACCCATGAACTGGCTGACTGAGCTTAGTTAACCAGTCAGTAAGCTGTGGTGGATGTTTATGAAAGCCAGCCAATCAGCTTACAGATTGAAGCAATGTACCATGGGAAATACCGTAATCGGAACATTTTTTTAGTAAACGGGATGGAGGCTCACTGTTGTCATGTTACAGTGTTAGGATGAAGTCATTCTCTTACTTAGAAACCTTGTAATGGTAGACTCTTTAACCGGATAGCTTACTGTAAATAAAAAAAATGGTATGTAGATATATAGAAAATGATGACTTACTTTATAATTTACCTGTAGATATATACACTGATATATATATATATTGAGTTCATAAGCTTATTGTATTGCATTATACAAAGAAGGTGACTAAAATTCTTAATATCCTCAAGAAAGAGAAGCTAAATCTGGTGTTATTTGCAGTGTAATGTCAGGTTTGTTTGTATTGGAACATATTTTATCCAAGATTATGTTCTTCAGATTACAGTGGATAGCATATCTGGAGTTCAGTCACAGTGATGAGGTTGGTGAGCTGACATGGGAACATGTGGATGTACGGTTACCTCGGACTGACAAGCTGCGTGGGATGGTCAGGGCAGGAGTCCCACACTCCCTCCGTCCACAACTGTGGATGAGGCTGTCCGGTCAGTCTTTTTTTTTTTCTTCAGTGGACAACACATAATTGGTCTGTTTGTAAATCAGTCTGTGTTTCATTGCACCACACCAGCCTACTGGATTTGTAGGTGATTAAATTTGATGTTGTTGTTGGGTTTGTGACATGTAGAGGGGTAAATAGTGCTCTGAAAGGGCTGAGTTACTTACACAAATATCATATAATTTTCTTCCATGTAAACCCTTTTCTACTATCAGTATAAGGTGACTGGCATCAAGAGCAACACAGACTGTCCCATCATTTGCTATCATTCATTGTTTCTGTCAGATGAGAAGTGTTCTGTTATTGTGTTCCTGTTGCACAACAGAGCCACAACATGGCCATCTCTGGTTTATCTCAGTGGCTTTTACCAGTTGGGTCACATGTATTCATTGTGGATTACTGCAATCACATAATTTTTTAAGTGTTTGGATTCACTTTTTATTCTGCATTTGCAAGTTTCGGATATGAAGAAGTATGTGAGGCGTATTTCTGCCTGTTGTTTTGGCTTTTCCCATTATTTTTAATTTTTTATATTTCTTCAATGCTTCTCCCCTGCTGTTTCCTCTATTTCTTGAGGTTTCTGTATCCTTGATCCATCTCGCAGACACATGAGACAGTAGTAAAGACCATGGATAAGTTGATAGATAATTTCCATTTATCCTCAGGTGCTCTTCAGAAGCAGCAGCAGTCAGATATCTCATACCGGGAGGTGGTCAAGGCCTCCAGTAATGATGCGCTCATGACAAGTAAACAGATAGAGAAGGATCTGCTACGTACTATGCCCACCAGTGCTTGCTTCTCTCAGTTCACCTCTACTGGCATCCCTCGCCTAAGACGGGTGTTACGTGCGTTGGCCTGGTTGTACCCAGACATTGGGTAAGTGGAAGCTGTCATCTGAATCAGATTGTCTGCTCATTTGTATATGAATGTTATGGTAATATTTTATCACATACATTTATCAGTAATGATACTTTACTGTATTCTCAAGTGTGAAGTAGGATAGCTCAGGTCGATTCCTCTTGGGATGTATTGGTCATCAACCATTATTTTGCCTTTCAATTGTATGAAGGCCACCGCCCACTTATAGTGGACAATAAAAATACTGTACGTGAAATAATAGGATTTGTTTCATTGAAAGTGGGACCTATAGCTATGCCTGATGACCTCTAAGGAACAATTTGGATGTAAAGTAGTATTGTGTATATACTGTACTAAGCCTTTGGTGGGTAAGCTAAAGTTTAACATAAAGATGATTTAGTAAAAGAGTTTTATACGATGGAAATATGTAATGAAGAAAGATTTCTGCACATAGCTAGCTAACACTACTGTACTGTATTTGAATAACAATGTTAGATTTAGTTTTGCATATAACACGAGTAAATCAAGCAATGGTCATACCTTATTTGTATTGGTTGGCATGTGGTTTTAGAATTTATAGCACTGTTAATAGTCTTCATTGTGAACTGTTTAGCTAATATACTAACTAACCTTAATGCTAAAAGATAAATAATTGCCTTGCATGATAAATGATTTGTATAACATGTTATTGGTGAAGTGGTTGGCTGGAAGATGGTACTAACACTATGCAAGAGCTGCTGATTGTTCTTATTAAAAATAGTTTGGGACTGAAGCCACTACTCAACTCCCAAAGCCCAAACTCTGGAACCTCTTGTGGAAACGATTTTTAAATATAGACGAATAAAACTAATGACCTTCCTTTTCTTACAAGTGGATTTTCTCTGAACAACCACTGTACTGTACTTTGAATCAGAAAACAGGAAACACAGAACAAGGATGATGATTTTGCCTCCAAGCTCACCTCCCAACTGAGTTTTTCTGTATTGTTCCTGCTTCATTTTAGTGTCACAGCAGATGAAACATTACCTCAGTGTGGCTTCTTGTTTTAATCGTTTGGTGGTAGATATGATTGAAAATGGATCAACTGGATTTACAGACTTAGTGGCACTTGGTGAATAATACCTGGACTTGGAGAGAGAGTATTGTACTTTGGCCATATAATCAGCTGCTAAACATGGAGACCAATGTAGTATATATTTCTCTGAGGATAAGACCTGTGCTGATGGTCAACTCTGTATGTAATACAACTGAATAACAGCTAACCAACCCTTCTTGACTTCAGGATTGAACCTTTATTTTTCTGCTTGGGAGTTTCTTGTTACCAACTGAAATGTGGCTCCATTTTGAATATAACTTGATTATTTCCATGAGGGATTTAGAAACTTGGTGATGATTTTGTAGAGTACCAGAAAAATTAGGTTTAAATCATTTTAGAAATAACTTGGTTATTTCCATAAGGGGTTGAGAGAGTTTGGTAGTGGCCTCCATACCTGACCTGTTCTGAATAATGAGAATCACAGGCTGTACTACTACGCATGTCAGGTACTGCCAGGGCACGGGGATGGTGGCTGCATCCCTCCTGCTGTTCTTAGAGGAGGAGGAGGCTTTCTGGGTCATGTGTACAATAGTAGAAGACCTCCTGCCTGCCTCCTACTACTCCTCCACACTTCTGGGTAAGAATGGCTTACTTCTTTCTTTGTTTCATCAGGGTAAAAAGAGTTTACTAAGTTTCCTCCACTCCTGCATATAAAAATGACTAATCTCTAACTCACCCTTCCACTCCCTTGTGTAAGAATGCCATACTTTTCCTCTTAACTTTTCCACTTTGGGAAAACATGCTTGTAAATTTATAATTCCTTGTCTTTGATTAATTTCTTCTTTCATTTGAGAAGGTGTTTGTAACTGACCTGCCAACTAAGTACTGTACTGCCTACTTTTAGCATCCTGAGCAACCATCACAATACGTAAAAGTTGATTGGTGAGTGAGTAGTGTCACTTCTCACTTAACAACCTCTCAGCTGCTACAGATAATGATGATTGATAAGGATGCTTAGCTGAGAGGTTAATTGTTTTGGAAGGTTTCTTTTTATTAAGTAAATACAACAGTGTGTAGGTGATAAACTGGTTGGTGGTAAGTACTGTACCCTTGAAGTCATGATTATGGTAGTTATATAGCATATATAAGACAGATATTATCAATTTCTGGTATTCTTTTTCTGTTTCATAGTGTACATATTGTTTAGCTGTGATAGTAAACTTTATGAATATCAATCCTAATTGGCTGATTAACTCACTGACTTGATGAGAAAGGTTTTTGCCTGGTATGGTGTGAGTCAGGGAACAGTTCACACAAGAGTAACCAAGAGTTGGTCATATGCTACATCAACAGTGGTTGGGCAACACTACCAGGCATGACAAAAAGTTCTCCTAGTGAGTTAGTCAAGGTTTACATTTATTGAATAAATTCATGCTTTTCACTACTGTGGCAGAATGACTGTGACGAAAATGACATGAGTATTTATAATAAAAGTTAAATTAAATTATGTTGCTCCTGTTTCCAGTTTTTGCTCAAGTTACCAAACTTGTGTGCTTAATTGTATACTGGTACTATAGTTGTTGTCTTAGGGCAGAGAAATATTGTTGCATAGTTGTAGTTGTGGGTGACTTGTGCCATGAACATCATAATATTTCATGAATGTTGATGCACTAAGCTGGTGAAGTAACAATAAGAATCCTTTTGGTGATAAGTGTCAGTGGATTTAACATTAGGTTGTATTTTTGTGAAACAGGTGTGCAAGCAGATCAGAGAGTCCTGGCTGCCTTGGTGTCCACCTATCTGCCGGGTGTTGAGTCAGTGGTGCGGGAACACGACATAGAACTGTCGCTGATAACGCTACACTGGTTTGTGACGGTGTTTGCGTCGGTGCTGCATATGAAGATCCTCCTCCGAGTGTGGGATCTCTTCTTCCTGGATGGATCAATTGTCCTCTTCCAGGTCACTCTTGCCATGCTCAAGATTAAAGGTAAGAAAAATCTTTACATATTTTATGACTATGGACCATCTGTGAGGGTCCAGTGAAGGCTGAGGCTACGGGGCCAAAATTAACTCAGGAGACACAAACTTCCAATGCACTGAGGCCATAATTGGAACTTCATACACATCTCCTCCATTCTTGCTGCTGCCTCAAACTGGCAACACATGTTCCTCATGCTTTTGGTTGGGTGTTTTCATCCAGCAGTACCTCCAGTTGGTTCACTTCTTTGACGTGATGACAAGTCAGGAGTAAAGTTGTCTCTCTGACCCTGTATTTCCTTTGCTGCCACACAACCATTTGTCCAAATGAATACTACTCATAGTTAACTTCATTATACTGTAATATCATTCATTAATCTCTTTGCTCAAGCTTTATTATACAGGACTGAGGCAGGAAAGACCCAAAGTTATCCAGTAGTTGTTCACTCAAAAGTTTCTTGATTCAGGAACCTCATGTAAATAAATTCACTCTATTAACATATTTAACCAGATTTTTTGATTGTGGAATTTGTTATTTTTAAACTAAAATTTTTCAGTATATATCCAGTGGCATGTGTGTAATTATCTTGTGTGGTAGCTTGTATGGGTATCTTGTTTCCAGCTTACCAAATATTAATTTAATGAAAGTTGGAATTTATCTGCCAAAGTTTACATTCCAATATTTTTTTCTCTTGCTACAGAAGCAGAACTTCGCAGCTTGGAAAATTCTGCACAGATATTCAACGCACTCTCGGATATTCCTGGTGACGTTGATGATGTAGAATGTTTGTTTAAGGCGAGTCACTTAAGAATTATACTTTTTTCTTTCTCAGTTTTGCATCTTCATTCTTGGTGTTCTTCATATTTTACATGTGAGGCTCCATGACCTAGGTGGTACAGGTATCAGTTATTTTCTCAACTTCCCACTTACTTTACCCTTACCCAACTTGACCTCATCCAACGTAAATTATCTTATCCTAACCACACCTACCCTAACGTCACACAGTCTACCCGACCCATATCATAACCTGCCCTTTCCAGATGAACTGGGGACAAGTGATGGGGAGCAAAGTCAGGAGTGTGTGAAAGAGTAAGTTTGAGAGAAGGTGTAATATTGCTGTTGAATTATGAATTGTAGAATTTGTTTGATAGAATAAAATGAAACTAATTCCAGAATATTATCAATGGTATTAAATTTACAAGTGATAGGTGGGTTATTGTGAGTACATGTGAGGAGCAAGGAGGAAAGAGAGTGTTTTTAGGGATATCTGAATGGCCGCTTTGAAGAATTTAGTGTGAGAGATTGATGGCTGAGAATTCACTATGTATATATGTAATGTATACAAGTTGAGGATACAATCAAATGTGTGTGAAGTGTGATTTTGTTGTTGTTTGAGCTTTTTAAATTGTCTTTAAACTCTTTACCCCATGAAAGGGATAGAGGAGTGAAGGTAACAGTGATAGATATTATAATTTGTTTATCTTGGTTCCATCATAGGTAATGGAGAATGTGTGTGGAAGCTTAACAGATGTAATGGTTGAGACCCACCGGCGACGACACCTTGCATACCTGATGGCTGATCACGGAGCCCTCATCAACCCAGACCATTCAACCAATCTTCCTAAACAGCATCTTAATAGGTATAAACAGTACCCCGGTTATTTAATTTCTCCCAACACTTTTAAAGACTTTCATGAGACAGAGGAGAAGATAATCATTTAGATCAGTATCATTGACCATCATGGCAGCTCCAGGTTTGGGCTTGGTTGGTTCATTTTGCCCATATTAGAAGAACTTTGTCTGATTTTCACCCCCCAAAAAATTTAATTAAAAAATTCCAAAGTTTAAGGCCAATATATGATACAGTTTGATAATTAGAACAATCTTTATACCATGATAGTTGTTGAGAAAATGGCACCTTATGGGTTAAAGTCAACTGTGATCCTGATATTCATAAGTACTAAGGTTAGTTCATTATATACTACAGGATATGTTTAATGTACGCCTATTTTACAGAAACAAAGAACAGTACAGTATATGTATTATTGAATGGTTTGGTTATATGTACATCTGTAAACTTGTCATTGTCTGACTCCTAAATTGTGTATACCGGTAGTTGTCACTAGCTTGATGAAACTTGACATAGAAATGCATCTTACATGGTGATGGCAGCATAACTTGAGAATGGAAAGAGCTACGGTGTTAATAATTGGCTTATACTAAACTGTATTCACCTCAAGGACTTTTAGAGCTCATCTGTGTTATAGGTGAAGGTTGTAGCTTAGAAGAATTGAAGTCTTCTTAGGTTGGATATTTTATCTCTTTATCAACATTGTCAGCAGACGTCTAAACACAACATTCCTTATATCATGAACTGTGACTCGTAGGAGAAGTATGTTTAAGTCTTATCGAATAAATAGTAAACCTTTGAAAGGATTTTAGTGACTTTATATTTGGTCTGTGTTGTGTACAGTATATGAGATAGTTGGTCCTAATTGACACTCTTTATTTCCTCAGACGACAAGTGAGCAAAAGTAAATCAATGTTGGAGATCATTTTATTTGGAGATGACAGAAACGCAGACGACCTTCGCAACAAAAACATCCGCCAGACAGAGCTGCTGGTGGATCTGAGAGAGGCTATACTACAAGTTGGCAGACACTTCCAAGTGAGTGTAGTGTTCTTATTGTTGGTTGTGTCAGCAAGCTCTATGACTACCAACCCTGATTAACTTTTTGACTCACTGAGAAAAGTTAAACCCCTAACACACGCTAACTAGCATATTTTGATGCAATTTTAAACCTGTTTTTTATTACTCTTTAAACAGTTGTTTCAGTAATGATGTTTAATATGATGTCATAAGGCTCTGAAAAATATCCTATACTCTATGAAGCAGTATTTATTTTTCTTTGAAATTGTGAGAAAAATTTTAATTTGGAGTTGCCATATACTGATCACCAGTGCAATGAAATACTGTAGATTTTATTTCCTAATATACCTGCAGGTGACCTTCATTGTTTTTGACAACATTTGTGTCAACAATGTTAATGAGATGCCTGGGGAAAATATTATTATAACTGTACAGTGATATCTCCATTAGCCGGAACAATTGGTGCAGAGCACTTGCAGGATTGAGAGATTTCCGGATAACGAGACGATTCTTTCAAAGCCGGAAAAAAATCCCTCATTCCCCGGAATTTTCCAGAATTTTCCGGGTAACGGAAAAATGTTCTCTGAAGTTCCAGAAATTACCTATTACATCTTTTCTTGAACCCAGAAAAATATCCCACATCCCCGGAATTTTCCGGGTACTTGTACTGGAAAATTGTTCTCAGAATTTACAGAAAATGCTCCTGATTTTCATATCTCAAATCCAGAAAAAACTCCCCCATCCCTGGAATTTTCCGGGTATCGTGAAAATGTTCTTGGAATTTTCCGGAAAATTGTGCCCCTTGGAAAATCGTTCCCAAAGCCGTAATTTTCTGGAAAATTCCGGCTTTGGGAACGATTTTCCGAGAAAATTTCAATTCCGGCTATTGGAGAGTTCCGGGTTTGAGGGATTCCGGCTTACGGAGATATTACCGTAATTAACTGCATCTCATTCTTAGTGAACCAGATAAAATGCCCATGACACGAGTTATGTTTTATGTTTTGCAGGGCATCGAGCCAAACTTCACCTCTGCTACACTTACGCCAGATTACTCCTTAGAATCTCATGCACATGATCTTCCCAATTTTTTGGCCACAGCAAGGTCCAGACATAGACGAGCTAAAGCATTGCTTGGTAAGTCATAGTTCTGTACTGTATTACCATGTATACATAACAGCAAACACATCTAGTACTGTACCTGCCAGGGGAAGGTAACCCTCTGGTTATTAAATTGGCTCCAGCCAGTCACTGAAGTATTGCACTGCTCTTTACAGATTTTGAACGGCATGACGATGATGAGTTGGGTTTTCGTAAAAATGACATCATCACCATTATATCCCAGCGTGATGAGCACTGCTGGATTGGAGAGCTTAATGGTTTGAGAGGTAATGAGGATTATTTATCACCTGTGATTATTGTCTTGTTCAGTATTAAGGTATTAATTCACTATGATTCCAGCATTCTCTTCACTCCTCAACCAATTTTGTCAGAGGGATGTCATCATCACCCAGGCCTCTTTGTTGGCGTGTATATGTAACCCAACACTTGTCCACACAACTAGTCTTATAATTTTGGATGGATCTTTGGAACCTGGTAAAGTATGTACAGTATCATCATTACCACACCGAGGTGCTGGTACTTTTTGGGGGAGTCATTGGCCAAGGTGTCTTCCATAAGTTTGTGGCAAATTTTTTTGTGTACAGATGCTCTTCTTTTTTTGCTGTCAGGAAGACTGTTCTGTTGTTGCATCATTGTCACCTGATCACCTTTCCTCTGGTTTTTTTCTTTAATCTAATATAAGATATTTTTTTGTCTCATTTCACTTACTGTATTACAGTGACCAAAGTGCTTGTAAATATCCATATTATAATATTTTGTCTTTCATGTCAGGATGGTTTCCTGCCAAGTTTGTGGAGGTTCTAGATGAGCGCAGTAAAGAGTACAGCCGTGCTGGGGATGATGCCATCAATGCCTTAGTGACAGACCTAGTAAGAGGAACTCTCTGCCCAGCACTGAAGGCCATTCTTCAACATGGGATGCGGCAAACTTCACTCTTAGGTCAGATTACATTTAAAGATCTTGATTGTTTAATACAGTTGTGAACACCAAGACTTACTGACTGACTCACTTGCTCATTGGTCCTCCAAAATGGCCTTTTATTTGGTCTTTGTTGATCACATGTTGTACTTCTGTAGATACCTGCTGATAGTATTTTTGCTTTATCTTATCCTTTATTTTTAGTGATTTTCATTTCAAGATCACAGAAGGTCCCACATTCTTACATGACGATATGTAGGAGCTGCGAAATATTTTTTATCAGGAGCTAATTGGTTGTCATCAGAGAGTACTGTTCATGGATGGCTTGGAGTCCAAAGTTATGTGTGTAACTGTACTGGTACCTGTCAGTTTTTACAGGAAGTACCACAGTAGATATGATACTTGATGGTATGTATTGTTACAGGAGGGCCGTGTCATCCCTGGTTGTTCATCGAGGAGTCGGCAGCTCGGGAAGTGGAGCGAGATTTCTCCTCTGTGTACTCTCGCCTGGTTCTCTGCCGTACATTCCGACTGGATGAAGATGGCAAAGTGCTGACCCCAGAAGAGGTATGTTGGATAATATCAAGTTTTATAATAAGTTCAGTAAAAACATATAATAATGTTAGAGAGAACAGAGGAGAACACGAAAGGAGAATCTGTGCAGTTCTTCATTCCAGCCACTTTCACTGGAGCTGGAAAGTGGTTGCAACAGTGAAGGCTGATAGAAAAATAATTTTTGATACAATGGCTTCATGTTACAGTCTCTATAGGGTAACATTTTTCAGTAATTCCATTAGCCAGATGTAGTTATCAGAGGCCAAAGAGCCTTCTGTGAACCTTGCTAAGATCCCTACCAGCCTTACCATATATGAAAATTTGCTTTATTACTTGTACGGTATTTGTTGCTCAATATTGTTCTTTTATTTTCCCAGTTTAAGGTACTGATACAAAACATGCCATGGTTGTCTTAACTTGGTGTGTTTAACCTCTGTCACTCCTCCAGAAGGGTGGGGAGGATTACTACAGCTGAACAAACAGCTATAGAGTTTTATCAGATATGTTCTGTAGAAATATCACAACTTGGTTTCAGATAAGTTTGATGATCAGTTTTTAGGAAGGTATACTAGACACTGCCTGTCCGTCCTTCTGTATGTCTTCTGTTGGTGGGCAAGATGGTGTCTGTATGATTTCTATGTACAAGTTACCATTAAACTTAACTTGTCCAGGTGTGGACAAAATTATCTTGACATCTACTTGAGTGCCTCAGATGTGTACTCAGATGCTTCTTGCTATGATGGTGTTTCTCAAGCTCTTTTGATGTAATTTGTAATGAAAAGTAACATTAACTTATGGTCCACAAGTATACAGTAGGTCATTTATTGCCAAGTGTTGTAGGTGTTTTGGATGGAACAGATCATTATTTCTTCAGACATTCTTTTCATATTAATGTTTATTAACAGCTACTCTACCGATGTGTACAAGCAATCAACATGAGTCATGATGCAGTACATGCACAGATGGACGTTAAACTGCGCTCATTGATCTGTCTGGGACTCAATGAACAGGTGTGTATCTTTTTACTTTCTTACATACAACATTCTTAACTTCTAGTTTCATTTGCACTAGTAGTGTTCTGTATAGTTAAGAAGCATAAGGGACATCAAGGAAATCTCTCATTTGTTCCACATAAACAGAGTTAGAGGCAGGATCTACACTCACTATGAAGTAATGTACTTCATTAATAGTGATTTATTTTGGCAAGTGATACATCGGTCACCTTTGAAGTCTTGTAGGTCATCACCACACACTCTATATCATTTAGGAAAGTTTCCAGAAGGTTTATATGTATACAATTATTTCTACAGGTTCTGCATCTGTGGTTAGAGGTGCTATGTTCAAGTGCGGACGTGGTTGAACGATGGTATCAACCGTGGTCCTTCCTTAGGTCTCCGGGCTGGGTGCAGATTAAATGTGAGCTTCGTGTATTGGCTCAGTTTCCTTTCACCCTCAATCCAGACTGGGAACTGCCGCCACCTCCTAACCAAGACCAGAGACCACTGCGCGAAGGTGTGCGTGACATGCTAGTGAAGCACCACCTCTTCTCCTGGGATCTGTAGTATACGTAGAAACAGTAGCTCTGTTTCCAAGGGGTTACTTGTACCATCACTGGAATCTAAACCCTCTCGCAGGGGTTTTAGTCCAACAAAAAAATTATGACAAATTTCTAAAACATTTGAATCATGATGGGAAAGTACAACAAATATTGAAAGACAGGAATCAGAAATTCACACATAACATTCCAACAAGGATCTCCACTAAGTTAAGACAAAACAGAATCTCTCTCTATAAGGAATATGATCTCCCCTACTGTACACAAAAATAACATTATAATTTTTCTTTTCATAAATACCGTATTACCATTTACAGCATTTGTATTTCTGATTTGTAAGATTCAGTGCAGATTGACCTACAAAGTCCATATTTCTAATTTACATTTTTAAGTCGTGAAAAAATGATTAATACAATGAGGGATCCAGCCCCCAGGTCCAATGTGATGGGTAAGGTGTCACTGTCCCATGGCACAAGATCTGACCTTACATTACCTCGAGCCTTACAACCACCTGATGAACACACTAACTGGAACAACCACATGATGAACACACTAAACAGAACAACCACCTGATGAACACACTTAACAGAACAACCACCTGATGAACACACTTAATGAAGAAACCACATGATGAACACACTAACTGCACTTACTGGAACAACCACATTAGGATCACACTTAATGGAACAACCACATGATAAATACACTTAATGGAACAACCACATGATGAACACACCCCCTCAATGGAACAAAGAGCCGATATTTATATGTAATTGTCTGCTCTGGAAATTCCCAACCCCCTACACACTAACCCTCCACTTAACTAGCTCTGGATCCCTCCCTGTACTAGTAGGTAACTTACACTTGATTGCCATTAGGGTGAATTTATTTTTCATGTCAACTTAAAGGGTTTTATTGGTCATCTGTTTATTATATACTTTTGTGATCCTGAATCAGTAGAAATATTGAAGTTGAGATGAAAACTTTTGTGAGCTTGAATACTGAGTCAGGTTCTTACACATACCCTTCGTCTTGGGAAAGCTGTATATGTGATGAGGATTTTTTTTTTATCTATCTAAATGACCATTGGTTATAGGTCAAATGAGTAACCATTAATATTGGGGACTGTTGGGATTGGAGCTCATTATGACTGGGGGGCTGGGGTGTATTAGCATGTGTCCCTCTTCCTTGTAGTTTGCATAGGACCCATTAGTTCAGTCACTATGTCCATTCGCTTTGGAAAAATATAATTGTGATAGATCATACTAATCTTAATTTTAATATCTGCCATGGTAGGTTTATGTAGATGAAGACATGGGGAAGTGTGTGTGTGGAATGTTCTTACTTGATGTTCCAGCACTTTTCTGTCACTTTCTACACCTGTCTTGTGCTGCTTTCCTATACACTTTTCCCCCTTTTTTTAGTTGTCTGTTTCCATGATTCACCCTACACAGACATGGACAAGGAGTAAGAATAATAGATTAAGTCGATAAAATCCCTAATCCCTTAATATTTCAAGTAACAATTTACATTTGAAGATAAAATGGTAATTTCAGAGGTACAAAGGGGCATGATACATATTTTGAGTACATGTGGACACAGAAGACATTAAGAGTGTGTGCTGTATAAGGTAAAAAACAACAACATTAGTGCCATGTTAGCTGTGAACATCTAATGTAACCCATAAACAATGTTAAAAAATTCACCAACAATGTACAAAAATTCTTCAGGTGAATTTTTTGTACATTGTTCAGGGGTCACCTGAAAGGTTCACAGTTGACATGATACTTAGTGGTTTTTTATCCTGTTGGCACACTATTATGTCAACTGTACATAAATAGGTTAAGAATGTATGATGCCACCTTTGTAACAATCCCTTAGTTATCTGCCAGAATAATAATAATTATTGTTGTTGTAGGGTTTATGTGAGGACTACAGCAGTGGCTGACATAATCATGTGATTTTCAAAGATCACGTGTATAATTGAGGGCAAACAACATTTTTTTAATGTTAAAATGATTTTCCAACATTATTTCAATGTTGATTCGGTGTTGAAGCAATGTTAAGTGTCCAACTGTAGCATCTGTCTGTAGCAGTATGAAAATGTCATCCTTGGTGGAAGATCACCAACTGTACTTGTGACAGAATCAGGGTTATTATCATTTGAGTTGTGGGTCATATTGGCCCCAACCTGTTCTAAACAGACCATTAAGACTAAGGTCTGTGAGGACTGGGCACCAAACCTAATAGTTACGGTAGTCATCTGACAACTCATTGTCATTTATCACCAGATAAATGTAAATTACTTAGAGCTTTTCCCTTTTGAACTGTGTAATTTGATATTTCTGTTTAGTGACTTGGTATATTATGGAAAACTATACAGAGGTCTAGAGTTGGATTAATGGTGAAGAAAATCATTAATGATTTATGCTTTCCCTACAGTAAGACAAGCTCTACATCCCGCAAGTGAAATGTGAAAATGTCAATGACAAATATGACATTTTTCTTTTGTCATGGAGTTGTTTGCTCCTTGACAAGAGAACACCACACCATCTGTGTTGGTTAATCATTACCCCAGAACATAGTAAGCTATTCAATTTACCCCCTTGTCCCTCTCATAGTTTAGTCCTACTTAAGGTGATCAACAGAAATATTTCATTGTGCCTTTGTTTTCTCTCAAAAATTATTTTCATGCAAAGTTTTTTCCTTAAAACAAATAAGGTATTGTAATTAAAATCCTGTGTGCTGTATATTACACTCACCATGGCACATGTTTTTAGTTTTTCTGCACCAACTACACAACAGCTTGTACCATACTCCTATCATTATTGTTGTCAGTTAACCCCTTCACTACAGGAATGCCACTTTTAATATTTTATTTGCCTAATGCCAGATGATTTTATTCAGCACAGAGGGGACCCTGTACACAAGGGGTTAATGATAGTGTTGTGGTATAATTATATGTTAACTTTGTACCTTTAAGTTTTTAATGTCAAATTTCAGTAATGAAACATAATATAGTTAGCACACTTCATGGGCATGATCATTTATAAATACAGTACCCAATTACCTCTGAAAATGAGTCACTATGAACAACTTTACACAATTGATATTTACATAATTTAATAGTGCTTATTTCACTTCCCTAAAGACAGCACATATGATGCAATTGCACATGCAGGTTAGCTTAACTTTCTTGAAACAGCTTAATGTATATTGATATTCACAAATGCTTGAAAAAATAACTTGTAACTATAGTACTGTATTTGAAGAAATAGACATTATCTGTTCAGTTGTAACTCATTTGCTTAAAAAGTCTCTTCTTATACTTTTAATTTTTACTGTGCACATTTTATTTAAGTAATTGTGGTTTGGTTGAGATTCATTTAAATATTACAATGCACAATATAATGTAATGACTTTAACACTGGGAATAACACACTGTCTAGTAAGTTAAACTGATGGAAACTACAGGATGGAGTTCACCTTGAAAGGTTTCATTGTGGTTAGCCATAGAGAAAGTCAGTGATTTTCTGGATTCAGAACAGAATAAATCATCTCGGAAAATGTCATAACCTCAATCCTCACAACCTCTAATGAAGCAACAGGATAATTTTTAAAAGTAATCTAATTTTAGTTTTTAAATTTATTCTTACATTAGCTGTATAAGTTTAGCATTAGGTAATGTAGGTAACATATATATACTGTACAGTATAAAAAAATGAGGGATCATCACCTTTACTTATGACTCATTTATTCAGTAAGAGGTTATGGGGGCCTACTGGTGACTTTCACATGACCTGTTTTGAAACCTGAACATTAGTGACTCCAACAAAAGCATTATGATTCCCTCCACGATGTCCATTTACGTCAATACTTAGCTACACCTGTACATAGTGCAGGTAACTGACTGTCCATTCACAGGGTTTAGTATTGATATTACTGGCAACTGTATTGAGTGTGGGATAGTTTTCAAGGTTTTACTGATGGTAGTTATAGATAAGATTTACTTAATATTATTGTCAATTATTTATTCATAAACAACAGTACAGTTTTAAACTTTTATAGAAATGTCAAGACTTAAGTTCTAAGGTTCATTTAGCAGGCAGGGTTGGTAGGGCTTTATTTTGTTTTGGTGTGCCAGCCACATCAGTGTCCCAGACTTAACCTAACCCTCCTGCCTGGTAGTGCCACCTCACAGATTATGGAAAATGCCATAAAGGTATTTATATTTTACCAGCAGTCTGTCATCAGTTATACAACTTCTAAGGATATCAAGTATTGTAGTAAAGTGGAGAAAATCAGACTAAATATTTAGAGCTGCATACATCTTGGCAGTGCAGTACCACAGCCAACACACATACACACATCATACATACATCTGGCATCTGTCTTGAGATGTAATATTTTTAAGTCATGTTTATTTTGCACTCAGTGTCTATATTCTGCTGTGAGTCTTTACATAAAAGTACTGGTAAATGCAGAAGTCAAAGTGAATGAAATCAGGCTTAAAGTTCTTGCTGTTTTTAACATCCAAGTGATGTCTTTTACCCTTAGAAGCATATCAGTTTTACAGACATCAGAGATGACAGGGATCATGGAAGCATTTATAAAATACAGGCATTATCTGATTTACAAAAGGATTCTGTTCTGGAAAATCTTCCGTAAATCAATTTTTTGTAAATCTGATCACATTTACCCATAGACTTCCTTTATAAAAGCTGAGATACGTTCCTATAAAAACCTGACCCCAAATGCCTTAAAATGCCACAAAACATGTTTTTAATGAAAATTTATGGTGTACACAATTATTATAAGCCAATAATAAGTATACTAAGTGAAATACATGCATTACAGTACAGTACAGTACAGTAAAGTACAGTAATAATTTTTATCACATTTACCTAATGGCCACTCACTCGAGGTGGTCATGCTGAGGGAAGGAGGCCAGTGGCTTGTGTAGGATACCTCCATTGCTCTTATTAATTTGTCAAGGGCTATTTTGAAGCCCAGTGTTGTTCTTGATTCCACAGCTTGGGCTGGTAGACCATTCCATAGGTCTACCAGCCTCTAAATTAAATTTTTTTTTCCTATATTCACTCTCATTGATAGCTTGGTGACCTTGGAGTTATGTCCCCTCGTGTTGGCGGTGCGTGACAAACCTTTTTACTTTTTTTCTTTTCAACACTGATCAGCTCGTTAGCCCCTTGGGCGATCGGTCACGTCTTTGTTACGCACTGTTCGCAAGTATTGGGCATGTACCGGCTCCTGAATCTGTACCACTGCCAGTGTTGGTCAAGTCTTGTCTTGAAACAGCTCACACTCGATGCAGTCACAACACACTCTGGCAGATTCTTCCAAGAGTTCACAACTCTCACTCTGAAAAAGTTACCCCTCACAGTTTTCTGGACTTGCAGCTTCTTCAACCTTGAGCTGTGACCCCTTGTGGGGTGAGCATCCACCAGCTCTAGGTATGGACACTCGACTGAGTACTGCCCTTTGAGATGTTTATACACCTCAATTAGATCCCCCCTTGCCCGTCTGTAGTATAAGCTAGGCAATTGCAGGCGTTCTAATCTCTCAGGGTAGCTGAGGTGCCGAAGTGCTGGCACCAGCCTGGTGGCCCTCCTTTGGACACTTTCAATCAACTGACTGTCCCTAGCATATCTCAGGGACCAGATGGGGTGACAGTACTCCGATCCACTCTAGGCCACTTCCCTGAATCCCGTACCTTTCCAGTTTAATTTTCAACCTTTCATGGGGTACGCTGTCGAAAGTCTTGCAAAATCTAGGTATATATTGTCGATATTACCACTTTGTTCCAGAATTTGGGTCCAAACATCCAGTACCTTGAGTAATTGTGTGGTACAGCGGTAACCTGCATAACTCTCACCAATATGTCAAGGGTTCGAGCCTCGGCCTGGACACTCGTGAGAAGGGTATTATCCAGTGTGACCCTCACTACCAAACACCACAGGTTTCCCGGTCCCCGGTTTCCTCCTGTACTAACACTGGATAAACTGCCCAAATGGCTAGTAAGCTGATAAGTGGCAAATATGATAAAAAAAAAACGAGTTGGCAATCCTTTACAAGCAAAGAAATGTCCCATTTCATGTTTTCCATCCCTTTCAGGATTTTTGAAAATTTCAATGAGATCTACCCTATTGTGCCTTGTCTAAAGGGTTGTTATATCTGCACTTACAATTAATTAGATGAGGTTTGAAACAAAGTGAACAGTATGAAATGCTAAGTCAACATCTATAATAAATATATTACTTTAGTGTCTTACAGTGATGAGAGGAATCTTTACTGTAGGTTTTAAATACTGTAGGATTCTATACCTTGGAATCCACTATACCTCAGTCTGGGTGCTGGTGTAATTAGTTCGAGCTAAAGGCACTACTGGATTTCATGAACAGATAATTTGTTGTACTTATGCACCCAATAAATGAAGCAGGTATGAAACTTCTCGGTAGAACTGAATTTAAATGTAAAATTAGTTTTAACACATAAACTACTGACTACTGTGTACAGCATTTTGCTGATAGCTAAGGTTCTGAGCTCGGACCTCAGAAGTACTGCTGGCAAAGCTTACAATTTGATTGTTGTGGATTTTATGTTCAGGTCATTGATTAGGCTGTCACTCATCGTGACAGCCTTAACTTTACTGCATATAAATTACTGTATGTATACACTCACAACACATAAACAATATGTGTTGACTGCACAATAGGTAAAAAAAGATGTAGAGTTATTAAAAAAAATTTAATACATCAACTTTTACTACAGGTTTCACAATACGTATTGCACAGATTATTTCAAGTACAGTACAGGTGTATCTGTAATAGTTTTTTTATTGACTTTTACACAATATAATTTATCAGTTTCATTTTCCCTGACTTTACTGAACAGTGGTAACACTGTTCTGATATGTCTTTTATTGATGCCAATGTCTAGTTGATAGTGTCAAAGATTCCTAACATAGGAAATGTAAGTTTGATCCCTTAGCCAGGGTTGTACGTCAATGGGCTCTGGCTCTAATAGATCCTAATATTTCCAGAGTGACGATTAATACTGTATTGAGAACTGTTAAGATTAAGTATTTCACTTTTGTGTCGAGTTACTTTGTCGTGGGAGCAGACACACAAGGTCACCTGCCAGTGGCTAATGTCTCAGGAGATAATGTCTATCAGTTACTTGTACTTGGAATTTGATGCTAGATGTTGATGGTCTCCTTGTCCTCCAGCAATTAGTTTGCATCCAACACCTGTTCAGTTGTACCCGACCCGTAACTGAATGTCCGCAGCTGGAGAACCTCGCCTACGACATTTCATACCTACAGTATATTTTTGGGGGCTGGTGATACTTGTACCTTTGTTAGTCCTGTGGTAATGTCTGGCTGGGCCTTGTTGCTTTGAAGTGAGGATTTTTATGAGGCCCTTAATTATCTGTTATTGTCATGATGCCTGAAGCATCTTGCTCTGTTTAAACTGTGACTTAAATGGTGTTGTTCATCCTTTTGGGGTCTTCCTCTTACTCTTGTGTCCTGGCTGCTGTATCTCTTTTTCAATTACAGTATTATAATTCACATTGCCATGAAGGGTGTCTAGGGAAGAGACTGGTTTCTTGTTGAGCAGTAATATAACTAAAACTCTTGCTGCAACTACCCCATGTCTCTACTGACTATAGCCTCTGTTACTCCTCTGCTGCTAACTGCAGTCCAACTTATACTCACACATTCATGTATCCAACAGTTACCCTCTTTCTTTAAAGTTTCTGTGCCTCTTAATCCATCCTACACAATATGGGAGAGGAGTAGAGAATATATTTAGATAAAAATGTTATATGTATGTGCCTGACCAGGGATACTCGGCATCCCTTCACACTGTATCAGGTCTAGTGTACGATACAGTAGTATTGTACTACTCTACCGTAGCATTACATCCCATTATAAAACCATAAACTTGGTTACCGTATCTTGTTTCACATACTGTACTATATCAACTTAGATTAGTTATAAGCCTTATCAAGTAGAGCTTAAGTTTAACTGTTTCTTCCAAGAAGTACTCAGTGGAGCTCCTATCATCTATAGAATGTCATAATTTACTTAGCATATGTGTATAAGATTTGATTCTTTTCTCTATGTAAGAGTATTTAGTATATATATATTAACAAACAGTTCAGAGTAATTGTAGTAAAACTGCTCATCCTTAAGGTAGCAGCTTGCATGTTACAGTACTTATGCTGGAAGGAGATGAAATACTTCCCCCAAAATTTTCAAGTGTGCGGATA